GGGATGGGCAGGTAAGTTTCAGCAGCAGAACACTATAAGGACAAGGTCCTAGATCTGTTCCTCAACACTGGGGGAATAAAAGAAAAATAAATTCTTAATCAGATTTCTTTAAAGTTATCTACTAAAAACCTACCAAAGACTTTATATCAAGTTGCAAAAGTTAAAAGCATTTCCCTGGAATCTAGGGATAAGACCAAGACATCTATTGTTCTACCTTTATTCAATACCACACTGCCCAGTGCTGTTAGTAAGGCAAAAAGCATAAATTGGAAAGAGCAAATCAAAGCTAGGATTATATGCACATCTTATAATTATTTTACACAGAAAACCTAAATATTCTGCAACAAACTAAAAAACAGAGTTGAGCAAATTTGCAGGATATAAGATCAACATGCCAAGGAAATCCATTTTCTACCTATATGACAGTAGCAATTAGAAAATGTAGTTTTTAAAAAGAATTATGAGTACAAATTAATAAAATTATGCAGAAAATGACACAATGTTATTGAAAGACACAAAAGATCTAAGTAAATGATTAATATCCCATATTCATGGACAGAAAGGATCAATATCAGTGATTTCAGTTCTCACCAAATTAAATGATAAATATAATATAAGTGAAAATCCCAAGAGTTTATCACATGCAAGAACCATGGGACAAGGGTACCCCAAGATATTCCTGAAGAGGCCCAAACAGGTCAGAAGAAAGCCTACCATACCAGCTGCTAACAGTTTATTGTAACTCAAATTATTTAAAACACTGTGGCTTAAGCATAGAACTAGACAAAATGACCAGTGGAACAGATCAGCAAGCCCAGAAAGGGATCCACATGGAAACAGAAACTTGACGTGTAACAGCAGCAGCATCAGAATTAGAGGGGAAAGGGTAGATGCTGCCATTAACAAGGTAAGTGGTGATCCACGGGGATATTTTCCCCCCATAGGGAGATTTTTTTCAAAATTAGACCTTATTTCATTTCATAAACATACAAAAAAAAAGTAAATGTAACAATCAAAAATTTAAACAATTTTAGAAGAAAATACAGGGGATAATCTTATGATTACCAAGTAGGGAAAAGGTTCTTAATTAAGATGTAAAAATAAAACAAAACAAAACAACCCATAGATGAAAATATTACTACATTTTACTGCATTAACATGAAAACAAAAACAAATCCTCTCTTCCAAGTGAAAAAGCCAGCTGCAAGCAGAGATACATGCATAATGGACAAATGTGTTAGGAGTAGCCTAACAGATGAGTACTTAGAATACATTTAAAGAACAAATTGATCCAAATCAAGCACCTAAAGGAAAAAATGAACAAAGCATAAAAAAGAAAACTTGTCAAGTCAAAAAAATTACGAAAAGAATGAGGAATCAGGAAATGCAAATTACAATGACAGTTTCCATCTGATTGTCATTTTTAAAGTTTGACAATAACAAATGTTAAGATAAGAGAGACAGGAACTCTTTATTATTGGTGAGACTGTAAATTGGTGCAACCACCTTACAGAACAATTTGGTAATATATAGTATTGCCATTCCCAGGCATAGACACTGAAGAAGCTCTTTCACAAGGAGATATAAAAGGTTGCTTGATTCAGAACTGTTTATAATAGGAAAAATAACAAATGACTCAAATTCTCCTAACAGAACAGATAAATAAATCACTAAATATTCATACAGTGAAATTCTCAGTATACAACAGTTAAAGTAAAATAACAAAATCCCAGGTATCAACAAGGATAAATCTCAAAACCAAGTGTTGAGGGAGAAAGTACAGGAGGACATATAAACCACGTACCATTTGTATAAAGTTAAAATATAAATAATTATATAGTTTATGGGAATATGTATAAATTAAAGGCATAAAATTATTCCTGGCAAAGATATATATCAAGTTTGAATGGTGATGCCTGTCAGGAGAAAGGAAAGGGTAGGTCAGGGAGGAATGGATTCCAGGAAATATTTATCCGTAACATTTTTTCAAAAATAAAATCTGACTTAAATTCAGCAGAATGGAGTGTATACTGATATCTATTATATTATTCTCTGTAATTTCCACTGCACTTACAATTTTTTTTGAGACAGGGTCTCACTATGTAGTTCACGCTGGCCTTGAAATCACTGTGTAGCCCAGGCTGGCTTCAAAGTCAAGATGATCCTCCTGTCTCAGCCTCCTAAGTGCTGAGATTATAGGTGTGCGCCACCACATCCGGCCTAGGTTTATTTTTTTTTTAAAGTGAATAACACTGAACTGTTCTTCATAGGCCTTCATGAGTAATAAAGGTATTAAGGTTTCAATAAAATTCAATCACAAAATTGTCCACATTCTCATTGTAAAATATATTTCAGTTTTAACTGTGTGTCCATATTGTAAATAAAAGAGCTATGGAGACATAAATTATAAATACCCTGATCACAGGATAAAAAATTTTAAATACAAACATATACATCTATGGATAAAGGTTAGAAAGGCGTACACACACAAAACTAACTTTAAAGCTACAAGGGCTTGCAATGAAATTTCTTTGAAATTTTACTTTTGAAGTCAATGTCTAAAGAAATTTGTTAAAATAAATGTACTGTATTATGTACTTTCTGAGAAGCTTTTAGTGTGGAAATAATACAGCAGCACAGATTTAAGTAATAATGCTCTAGAAATGCAAAGAAGTAGTAAAGTCCTGTTATGTCTTCCTCTGAGTTTCTTTCTGTTAAATGATCAGGTTAAATAAACAGACACATAACAAAATGACTTGGGTCAAATCAGTATCACCACCCTTTTCAGGGGCAATGGCAGTCAAAAGTCACCGAGGAGTGATACTTTGCTGTCTCTTTAATTAGGGCGTGGCTTTTAAAACTCAGTTGTTCCATTTGTGTCTCAAATCAATCAGATGAAATTCACCTTTTACGTGGCCTGAATCCTGATAGCTCGGCACACTCGATAGGTAATTTAATCGTGTCTGGCATAGACGAACACAAACTCAAATTAGCTCCTGAAAGAGTTGGGCTTCTCAGAGATAGCTGTGCTTTTCCACTTTTATGCAAGAGCTGAGCTTCACCAACTGGCTAGCTGGAGGTGTTATTAAAAATTTAGTGAAAGAAACAAAGGTGTGCTCCAGTGTCTCTTGTTACCCTTTCTACTGTTACTCCGGCAGACAAAAGGCATAGAGCCTGGCTCATGAATAATGTGACATGGAATATTCACGATCTATTTTTAATGGAGTCAAGTAATAACATTAAGAGAGATATTTGCAATCTTCAAATTTCACACGGTAACCGGCGCAGTAATTTGTTTTGATTCTGAACTGTGGCTATCAAGATGTTTTTGTCAAAAAAAAAAAATGATAACAATTGTCAAAATTACAACTCTTACTTATAGCATAAACAGGAAAAATGGAAATGGACCAGCTATTCCAAATGTCATCAGGGAAGAGCTGGAGAGGACAGACACCTGGATTTCAATCAGTTCTACTTACCCCTCAGTACCTAATCTTCACTTTTCCAAACCATGTAGGCAATAACCAGCCAGGGTGCATGATGACTTTTGTGGAAAAGATGTTTTGTCACCATCATTCACCAGGAGCTTTGGCTCCCAGGACACTACAGAGCGGTTCCTGGAAGCGGCAACTGATTACCACCCATCAGGTTGGAAGAATAATCTTAAACGGTACTACAAACAAATCTGAATTTGGAATGAGAGTAAACTGACATATTGGAAACCACAGGACAGCCAAGGACTGAGATTTGGAGGGACTGGAGAAAAGCAGCATCAAAACCCCTCTGTCCCACAACTCGGGAAGTCCTTTGTGACTTGTAACCGGGGGATTCAAGTAATTTCTCATGCCTTTGCGCTTTACAGAGCACAGTCAGCCCGCAGGATGAAACAGGAACGTATGTTCAATCACTATGTGTCATGCACTCTTACAGGGGCTGAAGATTCAGCAGCAACCAAACCATCAAGCTCTGCGGGCCGCTGTCCTCACTGCTGTGTCTCTACCACCCAGAACCTTACCCGGGGCGTACCGGGCCCCCAGCACTGTGTGAAATTGATTTCAGTGGGAATGGACAAGCTGTGGTAGTGACCATGGGCCACGCACACCCTGAATGTCTGGCTAGAAAGTGTCAGAACACAGGGAGTAGGGATTGAGGCCAAGACTGTATCCCAATTTCATTCTCTTAAAGAATTCATAGGGGGGCTGGGGATTTAGCTCAGCGGCAAAAGCGCCTGCCTGGCAAGCGCAAGGTCGTGAGTTCGGTTCCCGGTACCGGAGAAAAACCAAAAAAAAACCAAACAAACAAAAAAAAGAATTCACAGGTAGAAAAAAACAGGGAATAACCCAAATCCCACTTTACTTTTCCACATGCATCTTATTTGCTTGTTTGTTTCGCGGTCCTGGGGATTAAGCCTAGAGAGAACAGAGCCACATCCTCAACCCTTTTTATTTATTGATTTATTTTGAGCCAAGGTCTTGCGTGGTCCAGACTAGCCTCAAATTTGGAATCCTCCCGCCCCGCCTCCCAAATAGCTGGGATTCATGAATCTTTAGATACGTGATATGCTTTTAGTGAGCAGTTAGCCAATCTCATACTTTTTCTCCTTTCTCATTTCCACAGAATCAAAGTAATCAGAGTTGAACTGGAATGACAGGACCATATCCAAATCTGACCAAAGGCCTGTGATTACCTTATTCATCTAGAGCCTCTGGCTGTGAAAACATAACTTGAAATTCTCAAAGGAAACAGCTGTTGTACTAGTGGGACCATCAGGGTTTCCATAAGGTAGGATCTTAGCTTTCTTACAACTCCTACTTTTTTTGTTAGGAAAAATATTTCTGTGAAACGTAAAAGGAAAAAAATGGAAACAAGAGAAATTGGATTTTACTCTTTATATGTTACCTTATCTGCTTCACTTTCCCACTGTATTATACTTTTCTTAAATGCCAGCTTCCCCAACAGGGAAAAACAAATTTCCTGCCTAAATGAAAGGTAATCTGTAATAGTTTTAATACTTTATTAATTTAAACATCACTCTAATAAATATGTATTAACAAACATGACACACTCCAGAAATCTAAAAACATGTACAAACCTAATCAAAGTAAAAATATCATTTTCCCTTATATGGTACACATGGAAGGCCGAAGAGTTAAAGACAGAGCCTTCACCCCCCTACACACACACATGCCTACCATGCACACATCTTAAAAATATCAGGTTAGCAATAAAAACTTTGAAGTAACTCTGCAGTTACTTTCTTGTTTACACTGTATAAAATCCAGAAGGGCTGAAAGGGCAGCTTTGAGATTCTGGATTGTCTTCTCAGAAATCCACCGGAGGACAAGAACAGACCTCAATCATTTGAGGCTGCAGCTGTTAGATTTGAGAGGCAGAGCTATGACTTTAATCTCTGGCTCCCCAGTGCCTAGCAGGAGCCTAGGACCTCGGTAACAGAGGTCAACAAATAGTTGCTGAGTGACTGAATGACATCGTGTCCACAGGCATCGTTCCACGTTTTTTTTTACATCTGAGGAGCCCCTCACAGGCCTCTTGCCAAGAGGACCTCAGATCCTCTCTTACTACCAAGTCGGCTTTCTTTTGCTTCTTCCTGGGTAAGCACAATGGTGCATCTGGTGATTTTGAAAGAATAAAGCTCCTTCCCCAAATCAGTTTCTGAACCAGTCTTCAAGGAGGAGAAACAATTCCTCCAAGAGTTACATTACAGGCAGCGCCCAACAGAAAGGGGTTAACAGAGTTCCCAGAAGAAAGAAAGAAAAAACCACTCTTTTTTCTGCAGGTACAAGCATTAACGCGTGTCTGCTTGTCAATGGTGACTGTTCCTCTTCCATCAGTGATCTGGGGACTCAGGAAGAGGAGGACACCTGAGGGACTTTTCTGTCTATGGAAAAGAATGGATATGGGAAGGGCTGTGGGGCCAAGCTTTTATCTTCTCCCCACCTGACTCTACATCTTCACGTACAGGAGGCTAAGGCCTAGCCAGGTGCTATGCTTCCCACTCTGGGAAGAGCTCCAAAAAGTACCTGATGCCCTCTCGTAGGTCCGGGAAGTAAGGTGAAGGGGGCTCACTCTGGTGGGAGCTTCGGACGGGACTGGGGGGCCTGAGAAGTCCAAAGGGCTGGGAGAAAGCAGAAGCTGCCCCTGTAGTGTTGCGTCACTGCTGTCTGCAGCCAGCCAAGGTGCTCATTTGAGCCCATGCTGCGTCTCCCGGTGCCTCCTGAGGTCCACCTTCCTCTGGAAACCCTTCCCACACAGGTCGCAGCCGAAGGGTTTGAAGCCTGTGTGCTTGCGGCTGTGCGTGATGAGGTTGGAGCTCTGGCTGAACGCCTTGCCGCACACCTGGCACTTGTGGGGCTTCTCACCTGCGGGAATGGAAGGGGGAGGGAGAAGTATGAGTCTGTGATAACCTAGAGGGGACCCACATGCTCTTGGCGGCAGCTGGCTGCACCGCAATCTAAGACCTTCGAGCAAGTTGGAGGGGGATGTGTTGCAACATAAACTGACTCCCAGCCTGCACCTCGGCCCTGGGAAAGCATGGGTGTACCAGGTGGAAGGGAGACTTTCTGAGTGGGGGTTCCCAGCTAAAGGCCTCAAACCGTTTCCTGCTAAACAGAAACAGAGCAAAGGCCACAGTGCCCTCCCCAGCTGAATTCACCCTGGGAGGACTCCCCCGACTTCAGAAGCACAGAGTACCCAGAACAGATGTTCAACAGGAGGTGGGAGGAGCCTGTCCTACAAACCGGGTGATTCTGCTCTAATTCAGAGGAAGTTTTCAAATCTGGGTTTCCAAGCGGGTGTTGGTTTAGTAAGGAGCAGTGAACCTGTCTTCCTTCTTGTTCTTCAAGGACTACAGATGTATCTGAAGCATGGACATTTCTCAGACTTATTTTAAAAACCCACATTTAAGCCACAAAATATTTCTTAAAGTACTTGATCTTTTTCTGTCTTGATTTTACTTTCTTTTTAGGAGGTTAATCACAGGACTCTAAATAACAGCAGTTCTTCAGCACAGATTAATAGATGACAGAATATGAAAAGGTTTTGTTTTTGCCCCATTTCATGTGCTGCTTAATGCAAATAATACATAACAAACAGACTATGAAAAGGTTTTGTCTTTGCCCCATTTCATGTGCTGTTTGACATTTGGGTAAATTTCCAAGTAGCCCCAGTGTGGCCTTAGTAAGGGCTCACCCTGAGGGAAAAAATGCAAAATAGATGAAGTTTATTTTTGAGGAAACCTCTTCCCCCATACTGCACTCTCTTCTCTCTTCAAGCTTCAGATTTCTTGGAGAAAGAATTACCCATCAAAATGTATCCTATCCCTTTAGGGCCAAATAAATCTGAGAAATTCTAGCTATAACGTAAATGTTTGATAAGGGCTTATTAATGTTTCATTCAGTCAAGATCCTAGTTGCATGTTATGTGTCTTAATACTCTTACTTATAAGAAGTGAATTACATGGAAATTTTAGGCAAGAGGAATGATTGAAGTAGGACTTTTTCTGAGGTTTTGACAGGAATATCTATATACTGGGCAAACATATTATTAACACTGAGGATGCATGTTTGGAACACAGAACAATTTGTTGTAAGTATTCACATTATACAAAATTGTCAGAAATTTCAAGTCTAACGTCAATGTCCTGTTGACTACTAACCAGAGCACTCACAGAGGCAGGAGGATGGCTTGATCTTAGCATTAAAACCCTCACCTGCACATAAAGTGTCAGAAAAAGAGTCCAGGGTTGGAAGCCAGAACATCTAATGGCTCCATGATTTACTCTGATTTTTGGTAAATCATTCAATGTCTGAGTTTCCAGATAGTAAGAACAGCTCTGTCTGCTTTATGAAGTAAAAGGAAATACCAATTAAATGACAGATCTGAAAGCACTTTGTAAATTATAAAGCATTAATAAGTGGGTAGAAGCTTTCTGTATCTATTAACTCCCATGACTGTGGAAGTAGAATGATAAACAGGTCAAGAGCACAGACATTTGAGAGGTCAGACAGATCTGAATTTGAGCCCTGGTCCCACCACTTGTTAACAGTGTGACCCTGGGCAAGTTATTTAATCCTTCTCTGCCTCATTTTCCTCATCTCTAAAATGGGGATAAGGAACAGTTTCCATCTCCCTGAGTTGTTGTGAGCATGAGAACATCCATGTTAGCAGAAAGCTTAGTAATATTTGTGACTGTTTATTCTCCTCACATAGAATAAGCTCTCTGACTCCTCAAAGTGCAGCAGAGAGGTTACATATGAGTCTCTGCCCCGAAAAGCCAGGTGGGAGCCTTACAGAAAGTCTTCAGTCTCTAGGCAACACTCTGGGAGGATCCTGGGGCCTCCTTCATATTTGGCCCAGAGCAGGTGGCTGTTGGAGTGGCTGCTAAACTAAGGGAAATATTCTTTCCAAGGACAGAAAACCTGCAAGCTGAGCAGCTGGTCCTACAAACACAATTCCAATTCAAGACCTCTGGGGAGAACCACAAATCTGTTCCCTTTAATACAGGCGGTGATGAACATGATCTGCAAAGCCTCCTCCACCATTCACTGCAGCCAGAAAATCAGAGAAGGGGAGTTATGTTGGCCTCCACGTGTTCCTACAAGCCAAGGACCTTCGGCTTACCGGTGTGGATGAAGGTGTGTTTCTTCATGTCCGACTTCTGGTGGAACCTCTTGCCACAGTATTGACAGGGGTAGGGCCGAGTGTCTGAGTGGATGAGCAGGTGTGTGGACAGTGTGGATGACCTCTTGAAGCTCTTGCCACAGATCTTACAGTCAAAGCTGCGTTCCTAGACGGAGAGACAGAGACAGAGACACAGAGAAAGAGAGACAGAGAGACGCAGAGAGAGATGAGCACTCCACTGCAGTAGTCACCCAGGCTGTCACCCTCCTCCCCACAGACCTGACCCTACAGTCCCAGAAGCCATGGCTCCCCCTCTGTATAACCTGCACATTAGCCTCACCCTCCTATTTATTTCCTATTTCCACACTCTCCACCCTTTCTTTTAACACTTTTTCTACCAAAACACTTTTCACTCACAAGCTTCCACACCCCATGGCAAAAAACCTTATCCCTGCGCTCAGTTTTTGACACCCATTATACACACTTCATCCTCCTTACCAGGAGGCTGAGGCACTTGAGATGTCCCCCCCCACCCCGCTTCAGCAACTGTGGGTGTTGAAGATGATGGGATGCTACTCTTTTCAGTCAATAAATGTTCACAAATAAGCATTCCGCTTTGATAGTCGTTATTTACATATTCATTCTCTGTCAGCTAAACTGTAATTCGCATGCAAGCATCCTGCTGAGGACCTGGTATGCTAGGGATACTCAAATACTCGGCACTTCGGAGTGGGCGACAGATAACCTTAAACCAAGAGCGAAAGAACAGCAGAGCAAATGTCCTACTGGATGGTCTCAGTGAACTGAGATCCCACCTTTTCCGTCAGGAGGGGTCAGTACAGACTCAATAACCACTTGGTGAAAAGAACGGGCCAAGAACCAGAGCTAATCCGTCTGCTACGTCAGTAGCAAGTGTGAGTGCACACAAATCTTCCTGAAACGCACAGGAAGGATCGGGACCAACTCTGGATGCTCACAGTGACGTGGCACCAAAATCTAAGGCCGCCTCAAAGGCTGAGCTGTCTACTACCCACTTTTCTCTCCACATCAATTCGAGGGCAAGGGACCTGCAGGAGCAGAGCTGCAGGCAGGAGGCTGGAGGCGCCGGGGAGGAAACCACCGGGCGGAGGGCGACGGGTGCTGCACGAGGCCGAGCTGAAGTCCCCAGCGCGAAGACCTGCGCGGGGCGCGGCGCGCGTCCTGCGCTTACCTGCGAGTGCACGGCTTTGTGCTGCTCCAGGCTCACCGCGTGCCCGAAGGTCTTGCCGCACATCTCGCAGGCAAAGGGTCTCGTGCCGCTGTGGGACCTGCGCACGTGCACCTCGAGCCCGTGCGGCGTGGAGAACACCTGAGGCGGGTGGGGCCGGGGAGAAGGCCGCTGAGAGGGGCCGCGGGCCGGGGACGCAGGCGCGGGGCTGACCAGGCCGGGCGCCCCGGAGCCTCACCTTGCTGCACTTGATGCACTTGTAGGAGCCGCCGCCCAGCAGCAGGCGGGTGCACAGCAGCTCGGACTCCACCTTGACGCCAGCGCCCTTGTCCGCGTGTAGCTCGCGGCCGCGCTCCGGGAACAGCCGGCCCGCTGCAGGCGGCCGCTCGTACAGCCCGGCTGCTGCAGGCCCGAGGTCGCCGTAGAGCCCTAGGCCCGCGCCGCC